GTTCCCTCCTCCTCCTTTTCTTTTCTTGTGATGTCCCTTTGCTGCGGCCTGACCAGCACCAAACCGACTCCTGAGGAGGTCCGGGGCTGGTCCCAGTCGTTCGACAAGCTGATGAAGAACCCGGCCGGCCGGAACGTGTTCCGGGAATTCTTACGGACTGAGTACAGCGAGGAAAACATGCTCTTTTGGTTAGCATGTGAGGAACTCAAAAACGAGTGCAACAAGCACACCATTGATGAGAAGGCCCGGATGATCTATGAGGACTACATCTCCATCCTCTCCCCCAAGGAGGTATAGTGCTTCCGGCATGCCCCTAGCCTCGGGGCTCAATGGGATCTCAGGCAGGGTGTGTGAGCTTCACGCTAAGCTCCATGCACTCCCTCTTCAGCCTTGGGTAGGCCAATATATATATATATTTTAAATGAGACCCCTGAACCCATGCATCTGCTCCTGGAAGGGGCTGTCGGTAGTCCCGAAGTGCCCTAGCATTGCCAGGTCCCCGTGACCCCCGACTCCTGGGCACATGGCTGACTTCCCCGTTGAGAGGCCGGGCCTTATCTCTACTGAGACCTGGATCCTACAACCCTCCTCTGCCTGCACAACTCCCTTAGGATGGAAGGCGTCAAGCCCAAACCTCGTGCACAAAAGGTGTGAAATGAAAACGAATGACACGGGCCACTGGCAGCTCTTCCACTATGCGCGGATAAACTGGACGCCAGTTTGGGCTGGCGTCCAAAGAACTCCACAGGGGTTAATAGTGGCACTCGTTTGCTGTTGCTAGATCTGGTCCCTAATTGGGGTAAAGCAACCACAGCCCAGGACCCTCTTGCATTGCATTTGACATAGTTTATCCCTCTTCTCCCTGGGTCCAGAGCTCAGGCTGTAGCTTGGGGTTCGAGTGCCAGCAGCTTTTGTCTGCAGCACTGTTGTGCTCAAGACTGGGGTAGCCAGACACCCCACATCCCAGCTTTCCAGGTGTCAGGATCCTGCCGTGAAAACCCCCGGGGAACTCAGGCTGGGCTGGCAGGACCCAGCCCTGGGGCAGCTTTTTGCCTTACCATGTTATTTTAAAAGAAAAGTCACCCTCCCTGCTCAGACTCTTGGCTTTTAAAGACCAATACACACAAAGCCGTCTGGACTGGCTCCCCCCTCTCCTAGCCAACAGCATCTCACATGCCCTGTAGCCAGTGCCGCATGTGCACACAACCCTCCAGCCCTCGTTCCTCGGGGAAAGGAGGTGTAAACCCCATGGAGAGGCAGAAAGGGAGCTTTGCAGTGCTGTGACAGATGGCCGGGGCACTGGGGACCTGGGACTGTGGCCTCCTAAAGCAGAAGGATGCTTCTCCCTGCCTGAATGTAACACCTGAACAGGAGGTAGAAAGATGTCCCTGGAGAGCCTGGGATGGGGACGCTCAGCGTGCTGCTGGCTTCTGCCTCGAGAGAGCACCGGAAATCCAACCCTGAGGGATGCTAGCATGGCAACGCTCAATGGCAGCTCAGGAAGGGTCTCTTTGGGTGCGTCTACATGTGCATTAAGGCACTTTTCCTAATGCGCATTAAATTTAGTACCTCCAATGTGAGGTACTAAATCAATATGCATTAGGCTGCCTTAATGCGCCGTATTGCAAGCGCACACTTTTTAGGTGATGCTTAATGCACAGTAGCCTATTTTACTGCGCGTTAGCATAATAGCACATTTTTTACGTGCCACTTTAATGCACAGTAAAGTAGGCTACTGCGCATTAAAAGCGCGCGTGTAGATGTGCCCTCTGGTGCCAGTCAGGCAGCTAAACCCCTTGAAGGGTCCTCGGCCAAGCGAGCAGGGACAGGCAGATGGAAGGGGCTGGATGGAAGCGGCTCAGCCTCTTCCTGCCTGGATGCAGGAGGCTCGTGCCACGCAGCTGGGCCAGGGGTTTTGGGGCTGGGGCGGTGCCCCATGTGTCAGGGAAGGGTGGCGGTCACGCCAGCTAATGGTCTTGTCCTCTCCCCGCCACACAGGTGAGCCTGGATTCCCGGGTGCGCGAGGTCATCAACAGGAAGATGCAGGAGCCCTCATCACACACCTTCGACGACGCGCAGCTGCAGATCTACACCCTCATGCACAGAGACTCCTACCCCCGCTTCCTGAACTCTGCCATATACAAATCGCTGCTCCAGAGCGTCTCCCGGTCATCCTCAGAGTCCTAAGGCCCCCCGCGCCCTCTGCCCCTGACGCCGGCGGCCCGTGGAAGCCCCACAAACAATTTTCTTTTGTATGCCGGTGGACTGGGGGGTGGGGGGCCCCGTCTCACTTCCCCCACATTGTAGGGAAGCCTTGGGGACCAGGAGGGCTGCAGCCCCTTCGCCCTCGTTCCTCACGCTCACCGTCCACCTCCAGTTTTTAGCTTTAGCTACAACCATCACCCTGGTTTCCCGACCACTAAGATGTATCATACCCCTGCCCCCTTCCACGTCCCCTCCATCTTCTTCCTCCCATCCCGTCCTCAGTGACCTTCCTGGCATTGCCTCTTTGAACCAGGGCAGTGCCGTTGTGGGATCGTCCAACTCAGGCCTCACTCTTACTACTGAATCCCGGTCGTCGTCTGGAGCAAGCACGAGGGCGCGGGCAGGAGGTGGCCGCGGGAGAGGAGACTTGAGGGACTGAAGTCAGGCCTGGCCTCTCCCCCGCCCACCCCAAATCCCCACTCATAGGTCTGAAGAGGTCACTTTATCCCACTCCTCACTGGCTGGTCCCCATCTCTCCCCGTCTCCCATTCGAGATGTGTTTCTTTTCTTTTTTTTCTTTTTTTTCTTTTTTTTTTTTTTTACATTTGATTTTCAACGCTTCGTAGTCAACTTTCATTGTGGGACGCGGCAGGGCACATGCCACTGGCTCCGGGCAGCGGCACCCTGCTCTGTGGCGGGAGCTGCGTCCTGTTCAGGGCAGGCGAGGCGTGAAGGACCCATGTCCCCCACTCCAACATTTAACCTCCCACCCCGATCACAGCCCTTCTGCGTGAGCTTCCCAGGCCAACGGTCAAACCAGAGCTGCTCGCTTCCCAGCCGGAGCTGCCTGGCACTGATGGGGAGAAGGAAACTGCACTGTGATACCAGAGGGCTCCCATTCCCCTCCCGTTTTCCATGCCTGGAGGACGGTCTCATGGTGATGGACCCTGCCGCACCCCAGGCCGCAAGCCACGCAGCAGGCCTCCACTGATGGAGGGCAGTTTGCTGTCAGGGCCCCTGCCTGGCTGGGAGGGGATGCCCTGGGAGCGGGCTGGGAATTTCCCCAATGGGCCCTTTTTTCCCCTCCCCAATTTAGATGAGAAACCCAAAGTTTCCCACCAGCTGGGATGTTCAGTTCGTGCAGGCGCCTGGCTTCTTAGCATGTCCCCGAGCAGGGGGCCAAAGCTTCAGGTGGTGCAGGGAAGCCTTAAAAAACCAGCAAAGAGAAAACTAGGGAATCCTGTTCTGGGGGAAATCCTGGTTAGGGATGTTGGGTTCGTGGCAGACCCGGATGCCTGGGTTGTGTCCGGCTGTGCTTGTAATACAGCAGCAAAAAAATACATCTCATGGGAGGGCCGTGGGAAGCCCAGCTTGAGAAAACATGGAGCAAAAGGGGGAAAAGGCTGGGCAGCGGGGAGCCGAGGCAGCAGGTTGAGCAGGGGGGGGAGCAGACCCGGCAGCACCCTTCTGTGATTGGGGGTTGAGGGCAAAACAGAAGCCAAAGAAACCCCTGAGCCCCTCTATAGGATGCGGAGACAGGGCCTGGACCCTGATTGAATCCAGGGCAGAGGCTTTGGAGGGCAAAAATGAGCAGCAGAGAGACTGTCTGTGCCACCCTTCCTACCACCATCCCCAGCAGCCAGGGGTCTGCGCTGGCAGGACCGCCGTGGTTTGCTTATTCCTCTCATTGCTCATGAAAGCAGCGGTTGGAAGACAAGCTGGTGCACTGCCTTCCTCACCAGCCCCTGCCTTTCCAGCTGAAGGAAATCCCATGCGGGGTGGCTTGGTACTCATGCCTGAAGTCCAGAAAGGCCTTGGCGAAGTGTCGTGATTGCTGAGCGTGTCCCCATCCCAATTCAAACCCAGTCTCAGCCTCCCCTACCCGCCTTCGCGCAGAGCCCATGTCAGGAACGGGGAGATCTGTCGTTCTACCCCAGCTGGGCTTGGAGCGGAGACAGCTGCAAGGAGCAGGACATGCACCACTTCCAAACTGATGGTAACCCTCCACCTTGCACCTCGTGCCCTGCGAAGGATGCTTGTGCAGCTGCGTGATCCAGGCTGTGAGTTGAAAGGAGATGTGGTGGGATACAATTCCTGCCAGAGATCTGCAGCTCTTTGGGTTAAAAACAGGGCCGGGAGGGGGCGGGGGACCAACCCTAGTGCGCACGGCCAGGTCTTTTTCAGTATTAATGGGTAAGGGTACTTCGGGAGCAATACCCCAGTACGCTCCAGTACTCCAGCTCCAGGCATGACTTCTTACCGTAGTGCTACTGCCATGTCTGGGACTCCTATTGCCAAATAGTGTATCTTTGTAAATAAAGGGACCCTCCTTCCCCCAGCAGCGTGGCAGCCTGGTTCGGTGTTGAGTGTATTTGCAGTGGTCTCTCTTGCGAGTGTTCCCACGGGACGGGAAACGCGGCGGGTGGCAAATCTATAATATATGTATATTTTTGTAACGCATGAGGACTTGTTTACTTGAGCTGCCTGCTGTAGCTCCCATAGCTAGGACATTTCTACCAACAGCCATTGCCCTTCACTATGAAACACAGCCAACACCATGACACAGCCAGCTGGATGGCCCCCCCCACACACACAAACACATGCAAATTTGGCCCAAAGCTGTTCTGTACCTCCCTACCATCTTGAAAGTCTCTGTTGCGATGTAAAAGGATGATGATAGTCTTTACTGTCTGTACTGTCTTTACCAAAAAAAAAACAAAAAAAAAAACTCATGGTTTTAATATTTATCTTCCCCTTCACTTCCCTCCAAAAAAAAAAAAAAAAAAGAATACTAATTTAGGGACACTGGTTCTTTTTATTGAAGATATTTTTTAAACAAACCAGAGAAAAGAGAAAAAAAAAACTGTCTCCTCTCTTGTATTCTTTGTTTCGCGGGACCAGGTGTGTTGCAGTAAGGTTAGTTCCCTTTCCACAAGCTGGACGTACAGTGCCAAAAAGAAGCCTATTCTTAAGGAGGAGACCAGGCTGGTTTAGGTAGGAACGCTGTCACCTCCACCCTACAGCAGATAGAGATGCGCGGGTGACGCTCCCCTCCCAGCAGGACCGACTGCCTCCACTTTGCAAGAAGCTGCAGGGATTGTGCTGGTGGGTGAAGGGAAGCTGGAGACCCCCCAGGCCAAACCCTGCAAGATTCCCATCGTGATAGCCTGGACTCAGTATTACCAACTCGTGATTTTTGGCGTCGTTCTTAAAGTCTACAGTTCAGGAATGTGAAAAACTTCACCCTTTCTTTCATACATAAGATGGGTCGGGTTGGTGGAGCTGCATGCACACCCATCCCCTATCAAGTTGGCAATACTGTGAACTATCATCAGCAGGCATAGCTTTGTGTGCTGGGGGCGCTATGGAAGGGTGCATCAGTAGCACGCCAACACTGCTGGCTGACCCAAGTCGGGCAACAGCACATGCATTGTCAGGGTAAGGCCCCAGGTGCTTTCATCTGTCCCGAATCATCAGAAAGGCGGTGCTAGGATTCCTGCCTGCCAGCCCTGCTGAAGGAGGAAATTAGGCCACTGCATGCAGAGTTTAGGTGGAGGAGAGGATAGCCAGGGGACATCTGAGCAGAAAAGCCAGAGGCAGGTGCATGTCAAGAGCATGCGGTGTATGCTAAAAGGCTACCACCAAAAGCAGCTGCATTCGTGGCCTGTACCCCGTGGGCAGAAGCAATTCGGGGTCAAGAGAGGGAATGTGGCAGCACTTTTTCAACCCAAGAGAAGAAAATAAAAGTGTTCCATGTAGGTGGAAACAGCCTCTGCAGGGCCTCCCCCGTGCAGGAGATGGAAGTAAATTCCCCCAGCCCTTTATAGCACCTGGCTGGTTCCCCACAGGCAGCCCTGTTTGGCTTCTCTAGGATCTGTGCGCACACATCAAGACAGACTGAATTTGGCTCCGACATGCCTTCATGGGCTGGAAGGACTCCATGCTGGGTGTCGGAGAAAACAGCCCTCTGCTCCGGTAGCATTTCTGGGAGATTGAGTGAAAGCCCCATATGGACCTAGAAAGGGGAAGTGTGAATATGCCCAGCTTTGCTGAGCCAGCCTGCCCACGCGTGGATGTCGTGACCAGAGGGCTCCTGGTCCTATATCAGAGGCAGGAGGCTTAGAAGGATGCTGAGCTGTCTGTGCCCCTCCCTCCCCACCGAAACACTTGGATTCTGCAGGACAGTGATGATCGTAAGCAAAGGCCTCTGGAAAGCACAGGGCCCCAAGCAGCATTGGTCTGCATTGCCTTCAGCCTCGCTGCCTCTGCCGATCGCATCTCCGTTATAGCGAGCTAACCTATCTGGTCTCATGCTTATTATTAACCATGCGTTTCAGCATCTTACGAGTGAGTCACGCAATGCCCCTGGCTGCTGGAATGCTTTTAATTGATGGTTTTCCTTACACGCAGCCCTATCTGTGTGGGCTTGGTCATATCCCAGACGTTAAGAGAAGATGACAAGTCCAATGCCAAGGTTTTCTTTTGGATCACAGGCTTGGAAGGGAACCAGCTGATTAGGGTGTAGACAGCTCCACCAATCTGCCACCCATCAGAGCCAATCCCCTTGGGGGTGGGAAGGGGAATGCCTGCACAGAAGCAATTTTTTAGCTCACGAATCTCGACTGCGTGGTTAGCAGCCTTGGTTACTCGCACCTGGGAACCATGCCCATCTATCTCACAGCACAGCCTTGGGGAGGTACGAGGGGCCACGCAACAGCAGCTGGCATCTGGTGGGCTCACTCTGTCTTCAGGGTGTTGGCTGCAAAGTGCCCACGCGCCTCCATGAGACACCAACAGCTAGGATGACGGTGCCACTGCTGCTCCGGTGCCAGGACGTCTGCAGGGAGCGACGTGTCTCCTGCAATCTTCTTGTTCTCAGGGGACTTGGCTGCCTCCCATGAGGCGTGGGCCCTGAGCCAGCAATCCTCCCTCATGCTACCGGCTGGGGAAAGCCATGAAGAGGAGCTTTCCTTGCGACTGCACGAGCCACTCAGGAGAGCTCCAAGCAGTGAGGAATGTGCTACATGTCCCAGGCTCCAATATCCATCTGGTCCCACCGGCTGGAGGAAAAGCCATGGGGCTTCTCCCTCTCGGTGCAGGGAGGTCGCCGTCCAAGGGGGTGAGTGGATTGCAAAGACCTTTTGCAAATGAGATCTGATCTGGAACACCTGATCTGCAAGTCTGATCTGGAGCTGATCTGCAACAGCCCCAGGGGTTCAAGGGACTTGTTCCAAAGCTGTCCTAACCTTGATAGGAAGCACCCACCCTCCCACACCTTTCCTCCCCTGTTCAATGTGCAGACAGCCACAAGAGGACCAGGCCAAGTTCTCCTCTGCTTTACTGCAGGGAAGCCCTGGCCCACCAGGTTCCCATCCCCGAGGTCCCCAGTGCCATCGTGTCTGTAGCACAGTCCTGGAGCTTGAACCATCACCTGCTCCATTCTTCCTCAGCTCGCTGCTTCTGGGTGCTGCTTCCTGGGGTTAATCTGGAGATACTGAATGTGCTAAAGGCTTACAAGCACTTGGTAGAATTGGATGCTAAGACTTATGATTGTCCCTGGTAGCTCACCTCCCTCTCCACGTCCAGCCTGACCCACGGTTTTGCTTCTGAAGCCGAGCTGAAGAAAAACCACAGAGCAATAAAGGGAATGACCAGGTTCTCACAGGCTTTCAACACCCAGAGCTTCTCATCAGCCTCAGCTGGGAATTTCTATGTGTCAAGACCTCCGGAAAATCTCGTTTTCTCTCTGAGCCTTGAGGGCAGGCAGTGGGGGCTGCAGGCCTGTACAGAAGGGCAAAGCCCCTGTGCACATGGAGGTCATTGCAGAACTCCTTCCTCTCCCTGCTTTGAGGTTCAATCAATCGCAGACTCAGCGCTGGCCTTTCCATCCTGAAATGCGGTGCCTGGCTCCATTCCCTGGGCAGACTCTGCTGGCTAGAGGGTCCTCTGTGACTTTGCAGGTTAGAGGAATCTACCTATGTTACAGGTTCACCTGAATGACAAGCCGGTCTCTCCACCTACTGCTTTCATGGGTTATCAGAACTCTTTTCCCCTCTCCATCAGAAAGCAAAACATGATAGCATCTTCACTGCAACATCAGTGACTTCACAAACTACATGTTCTTTATTTGTCTTTACAGCAACCCTCCCGCCCAATGCTTTCAAATACCAGACAAGATCACAGGCATCTCACAAATGCAACACCCTCAGCCATACTGGTATCACTTCTGAGTAACACGGCTGACTTCCAGCTGAACTCAGAGGCCGGAGACCTGCCCCTGCTCTCCCCACGTCCCACTGCATGTAATCAACTGGTCTAAATCCTGCAGTGGGCACTTGAGCAAAGCCTCCATTAGCCACAGCTGCAATTTTGCTTGGCAAGCAGCTGTAGGATCTGGCCCAGTGGTTTCCGATTCTTTGAACCAATGAAAAACAAAAGTCTGTGCGTTTCCAATCACAGAGAAATCTCCAGGAAAGGGCAACGTCGGTAAAACTGCCTGGGCATTTTGTACAGCTGATTTGGAGCCCAGATCAGAGAGCTGAGGCTGAAACCCCTAACCCCATTTTTGATCAAGGTTCAGATGCTCACTGGGTCTGACTATCCCACCAGCAAGAGCCCGTACAGCCAGAAGCCACAGCACCCCAGCAGCTCCCATCGCTGACACTAAACTCTGGTGCAGCTAATGCCAAGTGCAGCAAGCAGCAAACTCAGAACTGGCAAAAAAAATAATGTTTAATACTGTTTGGAAAGAATGGCAATGCTTTTCTTTGATGAGAAAATAAAAGACGAAAGGGGGTAGTGAACTCTCCTGCTAAATGCCTGCCCCGCCAGGGGCCGCTCGCCACTGCCGCACAGAAAGGGGCCAGGCCTCCCTCGGACAATGCGCTTGGTGCGTGACACAAAGGAAACTCACTTGGGATACGATACACAATTGCCGGAGAAGCTGGAGAATGCACGGTTTGTTCTGGGCCGCGTTCGGCTGCCGCGGTCGGGTTCCAAGATGTCTCAGCAGAACTGCAAGAGATCAGACTTGCTGCGAATGAGGCCACGCCGGCTGCCATGAAAGAGCCCTAGATCAAGGGGTTGCCAGCAAAGGGGAGGGGATCTGAAGCTGGCAGCACATGCTGCTCCTGGAGAAGAGGGTGCCTTCCCTCTCTATTAGCAGAGGACTTCCCCAGCCCCTGGAGCCACTGTTTTGATCCCGTAGCTGGGGAAGCCGGCAACCACAGCATGTGAGTGATGCTCAATAGGCAACACGGTGCTCAGAGCAGAAGCCAGACTCCTGGGTTCTTATCCCAGACTCATCGGCACATTGGGCTAGTCACTATCTTGGGTTCCCCTGGTTTCTATCCTGGGTGTAACAGCACGGAGAGGGCCAGCCAGCATCTGGAATGTGCCTTGGAGGAAGGCAGCTGCATATTCATTGCCAAGAGGATGCACAGCAACTACAAGAGGCGTCCCCCACAATACCCGCCCCGCTCAGTATGAACAATGGCTGCGGCTGCCCTACCTTCCAGCGGTTCCCACACTCGTTACACACGACAAAGGTGGTCATGGGCTCGTCGGAGCTGCGTGTCTGCACCTGCGTGTGAAAGGCAGGGAGGTGAGAGTCCATGTTGTACCCACCCCTGCCAGAAAGATTTCCACGGGGGCAGGTGGGGAGAAGTGTTGGCTTGGTAGCTATCAGGAGGCCCCAGGTTTACTTGTCAGAAAGCAGATGGGATGGTAAGGAAGAGGTCTCCTGGGACCTCATCTGGCAGGCTGCATGGAGGATCGGGCAGGTGTGAGAGCAGCCTTTCAGGAGCCAACAGTCATAGCACCCCAGAGGTTGCCCTGCTCATATGCAGCACGAGCCAGGGTACAGGGCCTGGCTCCAAGAAATGCCATGGGTCTCTGGAGAGAGGCTGAGCACAGGCAGTTTCCCCTGGCCTCACCCGGACCAGGGAGGGTCCTGCCCCAAGCGCTCTGGCCAGGCTGCAGGACTGACCTGAGTGTAAGTGCAGTTCTTCTTCTTGCATTTGCCACAAGTGAAGAGGTCGGTCTGAGTGCCACCCGTCTTGGCCATCTGGTGCTCCCGGATTGCCTCTTTCGTCATAGCCTTCCTGATCTCCTTCAGCTCGTTACTGGCCATTTCCTTCCAAGGAGGGAACACAGCTACATCAGTCCAGCTTCACCACCCACAGCCACCACCCTACTGCAGCACAGGGAGGCAACAGCCAGCAGGGTAGACCAAGGGGACGGGTAACAGCCCGTGGCATGTCCCACTGCTAGGGCACCCACTCATGTCTAGCCCAGGCCACCTGTGGCCAATGGGAAATGAGCTCAGCCTAAATCAGAGTAGACAACTGTCCCCACCACAAAGCCCACCAGCAACTGGCCCTGCTGGAACCTTTAACAGAGAGGCCTGGTATTGAAGCACCTGAGGATTAGGGCAGGGAAACATACTGCTGCTACTCACTGCTACACAGAAGGCTTCAGCTTGTAGAGCTTCCACAGTGAAAATGTAATTCCCCAAACATGATATTTGGCCCTGAAAGATGCATGCATGTTGGAGTCCTAAGACTGGTGTCTCTGACCCACCTCCGAGGTCATCACAGCAATCTGCTCTGGGGTGATTGCCCCGCACAGCACATTCTTCCTCAGCTCGGGGTTCTTGGAGTCCTTCAGGTTGGAGATGCGGCTCCTCACCCGGTTCTTGTACTTCATGTCAGTGTTCTTGACATCTTGGTATATACGTATCAGGGCCGTTAAGGAGCTAGACAGGGAATAAAATCAGCCCTGCCACCACCCAATGCTCTCAAAGCACGTTCCAACCAGTAATGAATTAAAGCCTTGCAGCTTTAACGAGGCAGGGGAGGGTAACTGTGACCAGTGACTAGATGAGGGCTGCACAGGTGCGGCTCTGGCTTCCACTTGTTCTGCAGGCTGCTCCTCACTGAGGCATTAGCCTTGCCACACTGCCCAGCAGTAGCACCGCAGTCATGCTGTCTTTGGTGGAAGTGGGCTGCTACCTGGTTCCCCCGGCCTGGATATCAGCATATTCCTTCGAGGGGGTGGAAGTGAGGGGAGGTCTCCAGGGGGAAGCCTGGACCTGGCGGCAGGAGGCAGCATCCCAAGAGGATGAGGAACCAAGCCAAGGCAAGTGCCTCGCCAAGGCGTCAAAGAGAAACGACTGACATCGATCACACCAGTACGGGCTTTGGTCTGAGCTGCAACCCCAACTCTGAGCCCCCAAGAGCAGAAGCGCTGCGCTGACAGGTACAGGCTAAAGCTGCTCACCTCTGCAAGCAGCCTCTGACCTATCCCCCAGCACTGCAAGGATATATTCTTCAATCTGGGCGGCGAGATGCTCACAGTCCGCCCCGATGGCGACGTGGTCACCTGTAAAATTACAGGAACAAGGAGCACAAACACCAGTCACTTTCAAACAGCCACGGGAGCCCCCAGCCCTGAGGTCAGAGACTCTGGGAGCCCACGGCGATTGATTTGGAGGCACACGGCCCCTCCCTTCATCACACGGAGGGCGCAGCCTTTGAAATACAACTGTGATCAAACCCAGCAGTCCCCCACCAACCTCATCGGAGGGCTGCGCATGGCAATGCAATGCTGAGCTTGGCCTGCAGAGGCAACAACATGCATTGCTACAGGCACCATCCTTGCGGGGCCCGATTCTAGCCTTACTGTGGTGTAAATCAGGAGCCACACTTGGCTCAGTGGAGTTTTATGGCATTAAACCTGGTGCAGCCAGAACCAGTCCTAGTGCCTCTTCTTGACCAAACTGCCCTGCGCCCCCATTCACCCTGCCCTCCTCTTGCTTCTTACTGGCCATGGCTGGAGCAAAGCAGCTGGTCAAATCAAAGCAAACCACTTCAGGGGAGGGATATTAAGCAAGCTAAGTGATGCAACAAGGGCATGTGTCTGGCTATGGGACATGGCACGTGACTGGTGAGCAGCAGGGGACGTGCAGCCTGAGCATGAAACCCCATTAGGCCGAGGAGATGAGGGACAAGGGAGGGATGAGCAGAGGCTGCAGGGGAGACTTCTCCAGGCTGGACAGCAGGTTTGCTGGAAAACAGATGCATGAGCCTAATGCTTCAAATACACAGTGCTGAGCCCCCACCAGGCATCAGCTGGGGAAGCAAGAGGGAAACCGAGAGACAGATTTCTCCCAGAGTCCTTCCAGATGTTCAACCTTTGGAAGACTCTGCTCCAACCCAGCTGCATTCCCTAGAAGTCCTGCCCCAAGGGCAGGATATAAGCAGCATCAGTGTGGCCACTAGCAACCCAGCATGCTGAGACCCAGCCCTGCTTTCCCCAAGGGCAGGAAGGGCTGTCAGCCAAGGTTTAAAGCAATCAGACAAGGCTGTGTGCTGGGCACGAAGCAAATGCTTTGGTGCAATGAGGTGAGAGGCAGAAGATTCCCAGTGGCAGGTGGATGTCGGCCTTCTCCAGACGGCCCCCTTGAAAAGGCCACAGCGTTATGTAGGGGACTAAGGACTGCAGTGCTGCTCCATGAGGACTGTCCTGACTCAGCCCTGGCCCCTAGGCCCAGATCAGTCCTGCAACAGGCATGGAGGTCCAAAGTGCCTTCCCACTGGCAGCCAGCGCGGTCCTTGAGGCCAGGCCTCTGGGTTACTCACTGTCACTCTGCAGAGCAGAAGTCAGCATCTCTCTGCATTTGTTGCGGACAGCATCGCAGGTGACAGGCACCGGAGGGAAGGTGGTGATTTTGGGGGTGGTCGGTGTCTTCGGCGCATCCTGCCTTTTGTTGGAGCTAAAAGAGAAACTTCACCTGTCAGAATGTCTCAGTTCAGGGCAAAGCAGTGTAGGGAGCAGTGGGCATGGGGTCAAGTGGCCTGTTAATCACAACATAGAGCCAGTCAGGAAAAACCCAACACAAAGATGCTTGTCAGTGGCTGTCCCCCAAATTTTCACACAGTGTTGACCTGAATCTGAGCACAGCTCTCCCCTAGCCAGATGTGGCTGTTGAAGCCGGTGGGTACTGGCCAGCTTGGCTGGTAGTTTAAGGGGCAGGATACAATATCATCCATGTTAAGAGATTTAATCCACAGAACACATTAAACCGTTCTACTCCTGGATGTCAATAGAAAAGACACTCGCAAAGCCAAAGGACACTGCTGACTGCCCACATTTACATCCAGACGCAGAGTTTGGCTCTGGTGTTTTGGCAGATGGACATGGTATTTTGCGGTGACAGACAAGAGTTGCCTGCAGCATGTCTGGGGCGATGCCCTTACGCTGGACAATCAACCAGTGAACAAAAGGAATCTGCTTCTCCAAAACACTGTTTGAGAGAAGGCGTTTCATAGAGATGTTTCTGAGGAAGGAGTTGGGACTGCATGATCCTGGTACCTCCAGCATGGGGAGAACAAGAGAGAACTTCAGAGCCACTTTCCTCACCCCCCATGATCAACTCAGTCCAGGACCCAGCCCCGTAACTATGAGTTTCCTGGTTAAACTCTGCACGCAGAGGGCCTGGCTCCAATTAGTGAGGGCATTTATCATGATAATCTGCAACCCTCCCCCCCACACTGAATATTCACACTTGTCACTTTGGGGAGTTTTTCCCTATTTAGGAATGAGCAATGTTAGAATAGGTCTCGAGTTATATTGCCTGGTTAGGATTTCAAGAATAGGACCAACGTGGCATTTTTATTTATTTATTTATTTTTTGCTCTTGGCAGAAGGGAGAAGGATCCCTAGTTTTACTTGGAGGGTAAACACCATAAAACGTGCCGCAAAGCAGTTAAGCAGGTCATTAAAGTGAAGCAGTTTGTTAAAATATGTATTACCGTCTACTCTTGGCAGTCTGAAAGCAGAACAGGGCAAGGACAGGCCAAGCCGTACTCAGGCTAGGAATATTTAGGTACACCCATCATGTTTTACACCTACTTCTATGCCTCACTTCACCCAGTTATCCCATTAGTCACTCCTGCAAAATGCAGCGCCTGTAAAAAAAAAACCTCTCGCCCTTCAAATAAGCCTAGTGCTTGTTGAATGAGCAGGGTGATGTTAGCCGGGTGACCTCAGTGACTGCCTAGTGAATCCCTACTCTGAGGAGGCAGTGCCAGCAGAGACGTGGACCCCACTGCCAGTCTCACCAGCTCAAGGTCTACGCCAGCGATTCTCAACTGGGATCCTGGAAACCCTTGTGGTGCCACCAGATCCTTTGACAAGGGCTCTGAGGTGTGAGGAGATAAAGCACAGAGCAGGGAGGAGATAAGCAGGGTGTGAGGAGATAAGCAGACAAGCTAAGCTGCTAACCACAGGCTTAGGCTTGCCCTGCCTGGATGATTCACTGCCCAGCTCCTCTGCAAGGTGAACCATGTAATATATAACTGAGTTTCTGTGGATTGAGTGGCACCCATTTCAAGAGTGATGGAGAGGGGGCTCAGTTCGAATGAGGGGGGCCTCCAGTTCAAAAAGGCTGAGAACCCCTGGTCTAAGCACCCGGGCAGGGGAGCAAGGCCAAGCCCACTCAGCCACTCTGTGCTGTAGCTTCCCACGAAAGGGACAGTCCCCACACCAGCAATTTCAGCAGGGCTGCACGCGTACAACCAAATCGTATAACAAAGCGGTTCTCCCAGAGCCCAATGGGAGAAATTTAAATCCAGCAGTGGGAAATGCAACCCTGCTCCCCACCTTCCTGCCAAGCTGGCACCCAGAGGGAAGGGGCACGCAGCAGGGCTTCTGTACCCCTAGATGCTGTGGCAGGAGGCTCCGACCAGAGCAACCAGGGTATCTAGGTGGCAGGGCAGGAAGGGAGGAGTGTGCAACTGCCAATGCACCACATCAAGGAGAGCAGCCCCTGTGTTAGCCCCACGCCCTGTTATAAGCTGTGCATTGTACAATACCCGCCCCCATTCAGATCCCTGCTTCGGAGACTGAAGGGGAAGAAGTGAAGTTCCCTCATCATTAGCTTGACTCAGCTTCTGTCTTGTGGTTTTTCCCCAGCGATATTAAAATCCTGCCAGGGACCTTCCCCAGAAAGCCTGGCTCCTAACGGGGGTCTTATCCAAAGGCCAGGCAGTGGAATGATTCAGTTGAATGCTCATCTTTCAGGCCTCTGCCTCCCCAGTTGACCTGCCAGCAAGAGCTGGAAAAAACAGTGATATTTTATATGGATACATATCCATTGGAGCAGAGCCCAAGGACATTAATTCACTCCCAATAGGCCAGCTGCCAGCATCAGG